TTGGCTTTGTCGGACACCATTTCACATACAGAGTAACGCTGGAACGGTGTTGTGATGAAGCTGGGATGGGAGTGGGAAGAGGGGACTGATAAAATACTGCCCTCAAACCATTATTTTTCCTGAAGTGTCTGTCTCACAACACTTGTGTGTGGGGGAAAAAAAAATAGAGCAAACACTTCCCCCCAAAAATCCCAAAACACAAACCAAAAAAACCCCAACCCTTTTGAAAGGAAAGGTCTCATCTGCTTCCTAATTTGGGGAAGATTTTGAAAAAGTAATCAGTGAAATAGTGTCCACTTGCAATTTGCAAAACTGACTTAGGACTTAGAAGTTGTTAGTGGCTTCTCTTTTTTTTCACAAATTCACTGAATGGAGAAGCATGAGTTCCACTGGCTTCTACAAAATAACCATCTTTATCCCCGTAAGAAATTAAGCTGGGCACTTTAGCATTCTTTGCAGGAGAAATCAATACAAGATGCTAATGCGTAAATCAAAATATTCTATAGAATATACGGAAATATATAATACAGAAATGTAGAGAAAACATCTGTGTAGAACATTATGTAGAAAGCAAACCAGTCTGGTTTTCTTTTTGTAGGTGAGCCGTTATGAAAAGCAGCTAGATGAGACAAAAATCCACTGTGAGAAAGAACAAGAGGATATGAGGAAGAAGTGCACTGAAGAGATGCATGTCATGGAAAAGCAAATAACTGGCCTTAAAAATCAAATTGCAGAGCTTCAAGGAGAGGCAGCAGTGCTCAGAGAACAGCAAGAAAAGCTCAACTGTAAATACAAGGATGAGAAAAACAAATTACAAATGCGTTTCGATGAGGAAAAAGCCAATCTGCAAGAACTATTGAGGCAGGAGCACGAAGAAGACGTTAGAGCCAGACTAGACAAGGTAAACGAGAAGTTTAGCCAAGAACGGGAAGAACTGATTCAAAATGGTGTCTGGGTGGAAGAAAAGATGAGAGTTTTAGTGCAGACACTGCAGGAAGAGAAGGGAGAGCTGGAACGTGGCTTTCATGAGCAGCTGAAAAGGATGGTGGAGATGCATGCCCTGGAGAAGGAAGAGCTCCAACAAGAGCTGCTGAGGAAGCACGAGCAGGACCTGGAGGAGGAAAGGTGAGTGTCATCGCTGGCGGGGACGGTAGTGGTGCACGCTGCTCTTGATGGCTTGGCGTGGTGACCAAGGTGAACCTAGTGTGGAAGTGACTCCCGATGCTGAATTCAAGTGTACCAGTTGCACAGCGCTGTTACCTGCTTTATTCCAGAACACTGGGCTGCTATCCAGGGGCTTTTTCTTCTGACCTTTCTCAAGCAGATATTTATATTGATTTAGCTCACCCAGAGGCAACAATAGTGTTAAAGCATAACCAGACGCGATTAATTTGGGCTCTGTTCAGGATCCCTGTGCTTTACAAATCCCTGCTTTGTACTTTTAAAGCATTTGGGTTTTCAGAGTTGTTCTTTCCTGAAGAAGTAAAGGGATGGCTGGTAAATGCTTTTAGCCAGGATTGAGTGTCAAAAGAAATTGAAACCGTCCTGGGGTGACAGGGAGAGATGGGGGTAAGAACATCTGCCCCCACAAATCTGATCACAAGAATAGAAGGGCATATATTGTACATAAAACCTTTTCTGAGGACATTTCATGAGTTAAGCTTTTCCAAGGCAATTAGGTTTTTATTTTTGAAGCTTCAACAAATTGCCTCAAATTTAACTTTGGCTCTCAGAAACACCTGTCAAATAGTACTTCATCTAAAACTTAGTGAAAAAGTAAATTTTCAGCTTGTTTTATGCAGCCTACAAAGACATTTGAATCTCTTTCTGAGGTTAGCCCAGAGTTTAGTAATATATTATGTTAACCATGTTTAGGAAAAAAATGGAAAGTGACTATAACAGAAGAGCATCTCATGCAGAAACTCAGTTTTCTGTCGACACACAAACACTTGTGAGTAAATATGAAGAAACAATCCAAAATCTTGAGGGACGTTACCAGCGAGAATTGCATGAACTTGCCGAACAGCAAAGAGAGGAGAAATCTCAGTGGGAGTTTGAAAAGGATGAAATTGCTCAAGAGGTTGCTGAAGCTCACGAGCAACTGAAGGAAAGTCTGGCAAATGAAAAGGCCGTTTCTTGTGCCCTGACCCAGGAGAAAGATCTCCTGGAGAAAAACTTCAAGGAAGAAGTCAACAAGCTTGTGTGTGAGAGAGAGCAGCTTCAGAAGGAGCTGCGAGACCTGAGGAATGCTGCGGAGAAGCAAGAGAAAAAGCTGAATGATAAAATAACGCAACTCCAAAATGACCACAAAAAAGAGCTAAAGACCAAAGAAGAGCGTATATCCGTGGTAGAGGAAAATGGGAAGCTGGTTAGGCAAAAGCTGGAGAGGCTTGACAGTGAATATAAGCAAGAGAAAGAAGACCTCAATTCCAAACTTCTTGCTTTGGAGAGTTTAAACAAAGACATTTGTATAAGAGCAGAAACAGAGAAGGCCGAGATGAGTTTGGAAATCTCAAACCTTCAAGGGAAAATACAGACACTGCAGTGGGAGACCCATAGTTTTTCCGCGCTACAAAATCACTATAGGGTCCTGGAAAATGAGTATGCAAAAGCAAAGAGCAAAATTGCTTCTTGCTCTGGTATGGCACCTCTGGGAGAGGATGCGGATGTCCTCTTCCATCTGCAGAAAGTGCACGAGCAAGCTGTGAAGGAAAATGTCCGAATGGCTGCTGAGATTGTCTGGCTGCAGCACAGGTTGCAAGCTGTGGAGCGGGAGCCGGCGCGACCTCCCAGTCCTGGCTGCTCCGACTCCGGCTCAGAACCATCTCAGCCGCCAGATGAAGCGGATCCCATTTTTGAAGGGTTGCCCAGCGATGGTAAAGATGCAGACAAGGGAACAGGTTCGAATGGTCTTCTGGTTTTGGAGGCTGATACTACAGACCTGGAAGAAATGACCGATGTTGATTCAGATTTGGAGAAAGCGTGTGTGAAAGCCAGAGCAGGCGGCCGTGGGCTGGAGGTGCAGGTGTGTCAGACGCCAGGAAGTAAAGCAGCACTGGAAGCCGATGGCAGTCAGGATTGTGACAAGAATCAAGAGCTGCTTCCTCGGGGACCTCTGCTGCAAAAAAGGAGAGAGCTTGAGAAAACTCTTGAGAGAGTAGCCAGACCAAAAATGCTACGCAATGATATTAAACAGCAGAAGGTTCAGCTGCTAAATCACAGAATAACTTCCCAAAATAAAGGATTTGTTTCTGATGCTTTGAAGCTGCAGGTTGAGCTTGAGAAGGCTGAAGAACTGAGTGAAGCCTCTCTCCAGCTTGATCATGCTCCTGGGTCAACAAATGGTGACCTGAAAAGCGTAATAGCTCAGCTTTGGAAAAGGGTTGAAGAGTTAGAAGACAGATCAATGGCACAGGCTAAACTTCTGTCACTACAAGAAGAAATTCAAGTAGAAAATGAGGATCTGAAATCTGAAATGATAGAGCTAGTTGAAAAAAATAAAGTGCTAGAAGACAACCTGCGTAAGCTGAGAAGCCTTCATTGCAAACTAGAAGAAGGTAAACTGGAAAGTATTAAGCTCAGAGAGGACAACACACAGTTCCTCCAAAAAGTTAAAGAATTGGAAGATGTCCAAGAACAAGATGCACAAGGAAACCCAGATGCACGCAGTGACAAGGTAAGACCACGATGCCAGCCTGGGAAGCCGGAAGAACACGCCGGTGCATTTACAGGTCAGCAAGACAAGCATGCCCAAAGCGACAGCACGGTGGAAAAGAGGGAGCTGCAAGAGCCTGACAGAAAGCTGAAGGAGAAAGTTGCTGCTCTGGTTAACCCAAACGCCACGCGTTGCCACAAAGAGAGAGAGGAGAGGAATACAGTGACGCACTGCTTGCAAAGCACGTGCACCGAGCTGCAGCAAAAAGTTGGTCTTCTGAGGTAACGTACGCTTGCAAAACTTTGTGGGAAATGTGCCAGCCCCACGGTAATCAAACGTGCCGCTTAGAAACTAACCTAGCGTCCCACTCATCGCTTCGTAGCCGCCTGCCTGCCTGCCGTGTGGCTGCTGCATTAACCACTGTAGTTTAACTTTGATTAGAAAACAGTGCCTTGGACTCTAACTCCTAGCAAGCAGGCTGTTTAATCATGGATAACGACGGTTGAAATAAATGTGTGTGACTTACTCCTCTCTGACCGTGACCTAACATGAATGGTAAAACAGGAGCAAGCTGCCAGCCGTTCTGTCTGTGGATGTAGTCACCTTCGCGGCGTGTAGTTGATGGTACATCAGAAACTCCTGTATTTTTATGTCCAAAAATACTATGGTAACCCTTCCAGAATGCTTTTACCTTTTACTAATATCGCCTCGTCACTCGGTTTGCTCCCTTCTAGTACTGAATGTTACTTGGAATGCTAAAAGCGCTTCACTTTTTCTCAATATTTAAGTTAATACTAGAGAAGTATGGTAACTTTTTTTTTTCCCAGCAGGAGCACTCAGTGTTAGGCTTCCATCAGGTGTGTGATATGGTAAATACCATTATACCACAGAGACCATAATAGGTTACTTACTTGTTTTTACCTGCTGTATTTCAGCAAGGATTTTTTTTGGAGGCCATAAAGTCTAATTATTAATTATTGTTCTTAATTATTGTTCCACACCAGCTTCCAGAAGGAAATTGTTCTTTCAGGTATTACACCATGGCTGAGTTATTTCTCTACAGTCACCTCAGGACAGAAAAGGCACTTTCCAACACTGCTGTTCCCAGCATACCGGACTCTAGAAAGAGCTGGGGAAACGGCTCGCTCTCCTAGCAGTCTGCATATCATGGCATTAAGCTGTTTAAAGTTAGGTTATTTGTAACTTTAGGACTGAAAGGTATAATATATTAGTGGGAAACTTTTACTAGGTCTCTTAGATTTTAACTAACTTCAGCTGTACAAAAACATGCACAAAAAAGCCCCTTTTTCTGTGATCTGGGAAGTGCTCTTACTAAATGAAATGTAAATTCCATATACACTTCATACATAAAATAAGTCAATTGTAGCTTTGCTTTGAAATATTACAGGTAGCTTTAAGCTTTTAGTAATTTTTCTCCACGTGGACCTAGACAATATACAGAAACAGTTTTCACTTGTCTCGTGTCTCTGCCACAGATGTGAAGCCGAGAAGCTCAGAGAAGAAAATGCTATTCTGAAAAATGAAGTGACTTTATTAAATGAGGAAGGTAGTGCTTCCAGCCTGAAACTGAGGGAGCTAAATGGATCCCGAGAAGAAATGCGGTAAGAATTCAACAGGGTGTGTACCACGTGTCTGCCTTCAGGCTCTCGCTGCGGTGCAGACGCAATGGTGACATCCCTTCTCTCAAAGCTCCTTCATGTGCTAGATATTCTCCAAAACTTGAAATGGGCTTATTTCATGGTGCCATTGGAAATCCAGCTGGTTGACAGTCTATTCCTCATCTTTTTCACCTGCCCCAGCTTGTCCTGCCAAAGCAGGGGCTTAACTGTAGCAGTTCAGATGACCCAGTAACACATAGAAACACAGGACCTACTTATGAGCTGACCTGATGCATTTCTTCTTGCTTCAGCCAAGGCAGAGCTTGTTGGACTGGTGTGGCCTTAGAAAAGGCAGAAAGAGGTACAGTGTGACAGAGTATTTCAGTGATTTGGTCTTTTGCAAGTGGATAACCATCCATGATCCTGGGAGTATTCTTCCCTTCTAGAAGAGAACTACACGGGGTACCTTGAGGAACTGAGCACTAGCCAAGCCTATGCAAAACAGTGATAAATATATACAAATATCCAGAATTACCATTTCTGGTGATGTCAAAACCCAGACCGTTCTTGTAGGTCTGTGTATTAACAAGTGACCCTAATGTTAATGAGCTTTCGTTTTTTTCCTTAGGCAAAAGATAGAGGCTGTGAGAAAGGAGAAAGTGGCTGTACAGAAGATGGTTGACAACCTGAAAAAACAGGTATACGGACTGAGCCCATAACCACCTCTGTGGAAGTCATCACTGTATAAAAGCTGTTCCTTACATGGTCACAAAGGCAGTAGAAAATGGCCATTATATACATTTAAACTTTTTGAAAACTGTTCTCGCTAACTCTTCAGGATTGATATGAGGCTTGTTTGACCTCATTGGAAGACAACTGCAACGCTACTGTAACTATCTAGCTTACAGACTTAAGAGCACTTTCCATAGTCAACTTGGAAAGTTTATTTAATAGAAAGATAAAAGTTAAAATCTTTCTTTTGTAGTCTTTGTGGGTAATGCTGCGCAGTAGCCCATGGGAAATAGAGGTTATGTGACTCAGCCTCTACTTATTTCCCAGCTAGCTGGGTCTAGGAATGCTGCCAGCCGTGACCCTTTGCTTATATCCATGAGACTGCTACTTGTATTTTAAGGATGGTTTGTTATGCTAGGCAAAGTAGAAGGTTTAAGTAGCTCTTACATTCACGTCCCTCTTAGTGTTGCTTAGTAAAATTCTACTTGCTCCGAATAATCTACTAGCTCACCAGCATAACCCTCAAAATATACATCAGCCTGGCAAAGGGAAGGAGGAACAGAGTGGTGTGTCAGATGACTGTATCGTAACGGCTATAATTGAGGCCAGTTATGAGAAATAGCAGTTTGTGAGGCTGACCATGCATGCAACAGGCTATCCAGGAGGATTCCTACTCCTAAATATGGTTCTACTTGATTTAGCCTAAAATTAGGGCATGAAGCGAGTTAAACAGCTACAGGGAAATAAAGCAAGCAGTGCTGCTGGCGTCACGACTGTTACACAGAGTACAGGCAACAGCTGAGCCCCGCCGTTCAGAGTCACCGTTGAACTGGAGTGACACTTGTCAGTTCTTTTAATCATCTTAACAGAAAGGCAATATTTTAAAAATCTCATCCCCAGTGTAGAAGCAGTCATAACTGACACTGCTGTGCCAATTCAGGTAGCAGATCTGAAGACCAGAAACCAGCAGCTGGACTCTGAAAATACAGAACTGAGCCAGAGGAACTCCAAAAATCAAGCAGATGTGCAGGATCTTAATCAACAGCTGGCAAGGGTGCTCAAGCAAAAGGAAAGGGAAGCAGGAAAATGTACCCTGGAGGAATGGGAAAAGGAGAGACTGGTGCTGAAAGAGGAACTGGAAAACTCCCAAGTAAAGGTATGGGATCATACTGTCTCTAACAGTATTAAAAATTGAACTTTTAGGAATGCCCCAGTGCTATGGAATTAGCATCTCTTTCTCGAGCTGTGTGTGGGCTTTCAAAGCTGAGCTTTCCTAAGTTACTAGCTGGAAATGTGCATGCGTGTGGCTGCAGGGGTGGAAGGAAAGCATGGCAGCGGCCAAAAGCAGCAAGGTAGAAGTGTGCAGGTTTGTCTTGAAAATGGAGCTCAGTGATGCTAAATGTTTACCTGCGTTTTCCAGCGTGCCTGTTCCGTTCAGTCCAGTGCCGTCCCAGCTCTAACCCATGTCACTGGCAGCAGCATCCTCTGGTTAACCTTTGTTAATCTGTGTGTCTCCTAAGTTGACATCTGAGCCTTTTACTTTTTGCAGTCATCAAATATGGTGTCTTCCTTGGAGATGGAGCTGTCAGAAATGAAGGTTCAAGCTCATGTATTGGAGCAGGAGAACCACATCCTCAAGCAGGAACTCGAGAAGACAAAACAGGTATGGCGTGCTGTTTGAGTGCCATCAGGTAATGCTGGCTGTCTCTTCATGTGCCCTGCTCTCTTGCCCGAGTTGGAAACAGTTAATTTCCCTAAAGAAAGGTCGTAACAGTAGGGGAATATAAATCCTCTTGAAAGAGTTTCTGGGTACAATGCGCAATTGTTCAAAGGTCTTCCAGAGTAGTGGATCTACAAAGACAGGCTTCAACAGGGAAGAGAAAGATTTAAAGCTCTAATCAAGGAATAGACAGGGCTTTTCTTGTTGGTACAGACGGGATAGGCAGAGGAACATTTTCCTGTGTAACTGGTGATACCCATATAGCTCCAGTTAAGGACCAGTCTCTTCCAGCTTGTCCTCTCGGAGAGAATTCCTATTGCTAAACCCATCTGGAGACTTTGACATCTCACAACTTCTGAGGATGATTTCCTGGAGGGCTTGGTTAGCGCCTGTATGAGCATGGTTCAATTGGCTGTAAATATATGCTAATAAACATAGATAGTGAAGACTACAAATGAGTTAGCTCTCCTGATTAGGGCTCCACAGAGTAATTTTCTTTACAGTATAAAGCACTCATTTGATGCACTCAATGCTCAGGATAGATAATGGTCTTAAAAAGCAAAAGCAGATGAGTCCTATTCAGTAAAGAGTGGATTGTGGCTTGGGTGTAATTAAAGGCAGAAGATTGAGTGAGCAAAGACAGAAGAGCAGAGGAGAAGGCAGAGTATTAAGCGAAAGTGCTGTGTCAAATGGGAAAAGGATCAGAAATCAGCAGTGCAGTGTTTTTTCCCCTGTCACAGAGGAGGCAGAGAAACACCAGCCTTAAAGCAAATGCGAGGATCACAGGGCAATTGGGAATCCTTAGCGATGCTCCTCTCTCTCCCACTCTATCCGGAGTGGGACGCTTGGCTGGGAGGAGAAGAGAAAGCTGTGTGTAACACTCACATGCAAAGTTCTGCACCAGCACAGAAATGCAACTGTGTGGGGTTTGTTTTCCACAGCTGCCCAGATGTCCTGATCTCTCTGACCTTCAAAATGAAGTATCAAGCTTAATTACTAAAAATGAAAAGCTACAGAAAGAAAAGGAAGCCCTGAGTGAGGAATTAAACAGATGTATTGATAAGGTAAGAAAGAACTGCAAATCCACATCACTACCTACATGCTGTAAAGGGCTCTTAAAATTCTTGTATCACTATCTGTATCACCCTAACCTGTAAAACTACTTTAGATTTATTTTTTTTTTTGTCTTACCTTCAAGCTAGGTAAAGGCTTAATTGCCACTGCTTTTTTTCCTAGCTGGTCTTAAAGAGAAAGCTTAAATTCTGGAGCACAGCTTTACTGTAATTTGATTATATAGAAAATTCCAAACATTGCAAGGAACAGAGGTCTGGATATAAATACTGCAGCAGGACAAGGAGGACAGTGTTCTTGCACTTCTATTGCAACTCTAACAATAATGTAACTCTGAACTCGAGCAGTGTAGCTAGTATGCACCCTATAAATAACGATGCCGTTGCGTGGAGAGAGTTGGGCTGGGAGCTGGGGGGGGTTTTGGACTCCTGTGTTGTCTTTGCGTAGCTGTAACTCCCTCTAGCTTAACTCTCAAAGTCAAATTGAGTTAAAGAAAATCCTGAATGAGTTGGGCTTACCGATGTAATCTTATTTCAGGTAGCTAAAGTAAGCTGCTTAGAGAATGCAATTGGTAGCTTGAAGCAGGAACAGAAGTCCTGGGAACAGCAGAGTCAGACACTGAAAACACAGCTCACAATTTCACAAGAAAAGGTATAATAGTGATTTTTGTTATAGCCCTAGATCGAAAGCGTTTGTATAATCTCCTGTAGTGCTTTTTTCATGAAAAGCAGCCCTCTTCTAATGCGTGCAAAGATGTCACGCAGCTAAGAATGGCTGCTTTGATGGGCTTTCAAAGTGACGTCCTTAAAGGACAAGAGGAAACATGTTACATGCCATGAGGGACTTTTCCCCCCGAGAATAAGCTATGTTGTTTTGCATCTACAGCCAAGTTTCTTTTGCCAATTCATTCTGCTCAGTTATTCCGAAAACGCTGCAGAGACTCCGCTGTTGCTCCCCGCTCTTCTGGCGGCGGTTCGTCTCTCAGCAGGCAGGGGAGGGGAACAACGGCTGTCTGCTTGGCTCATTACGCTTCGGCTTCCTTCTTGGCCAGGGGCTGCCAGGAAGAATAAATAATTCAAGAGAAATCTTCTCTTCCCAGCATATCACAATCGATATTTGGGGGTGGAAGATGCGTCTCCCTTGAATGCAGTAGCGTGGCTGTATTTAAAGTGGATGGCTACTAATTTGGAACAGAAAGTCAGAAAATCATTCAGCATTTTTAAAGAGAGGTGTCGGCATTATAACTGCTTCACTCCTTCCATCAAAGATCCTAAATATGTGTGGTATGTGGTACATACACATCCTAGCAGACCAAGGTTACAAGAAATCTTGGTCCAGCGAATGCCAAGCTGTGTTCCGGCTCGTTACAGGTTCAGAGCCTAGATGAAACGCTGCAAAATACCAACCTTCAAATGTCCCGACTAAAATCGGACTTACGGGTGACGCAACAGGAGAGGGAAACTCTTAAACAAGAAGTGGTGTCTTTACACAAGCAGCTGCAGAATGCCAATGAAAAGGTAACGGACTGGAGGTGCCTCAGAGTCAGTCAACGCTGCATGCCAGGGTTCACGGGCACCAGTTGCTGCTCTCCTGTCGCCTGCCGCTGTAGCCAGCTTAATTCTTTAGGTTGGCTTGTCCACTAAAAGGACACAAGTAATGCTGCAGGCTAGAGCGAGTAGACTCTGAGTTATGCAACTATTGATTTATTTATTTTTTTAAACAAGTCATAAAGCTAATAATTAAAAAAAAAAGCTGAAAGGAGGTGGGCACAAAAAAGCTCTATTTTAATGATGTTTCTGTATTTAGTTGTTCATTAGTTGTACATTTAGTTGTCCATTTTAAAACACTATAATTGTAATTAATTATAAAAATACTATAATTATAAAAACTATAATTATCATGTTTGTGTATAATATGCAGATTTCAAACTTGTTTTTAAAAAACTTATTTTAAGTTTTGAACGTGAGGACAGGCAGTGATCAGTCTACCTCCCGAGTCTCCATTCTTCCCCAAAAGAAATCTTTTTTTGGGGAAAAAAAAAATAAATCTGCGGACAATGTTTATAGTTTTAATACGTGTAAATTCATACATATTAACAATCAAACTAGTAATTGACAGAGGGAAATAATTTTCAGTCAAACTTGTTTTTTAAAAGGCTTGGTATTGTATCAGCTTCTCTTAACTGCTGAGGCACCGTAACTGAAGGAGGCTGTAGACAGCAGTCTGGGGATTGGGATTATGAATTCAGTTACTAATTTGGCTTGTTTGCCGTGTAATTAAGGAATATTTAATGTCCACATGGAAAAGAGGCTGTTTCAGAATTGTACAACAGGAACTAAATTACAGCTATTACTGAATAATATATAATACTGAGTTCTGTTATTTGCTTGATGAGGCTGTGCAATGGAGCACAAATTGCTTTTTTGTGTCGAGCTCTGTGCGCTCGTATCAGCCGTTCTGGCGCACAGCTATTATCTGTGATTTTAGCCAAGGGGAGCACTTTGGGTTTGCGCTGTGATTAGCATGTTGGGTTTCTTAGTGGAAAACAGTAGGCTGGGAGGAAGACTGGAATCCTGCGACTCTAGAGTCTGCAGTTACTCAAAGCCTACTTAAAACCCACCTGAATAGAGAAAATGTCTGCTGCTTTGTTTAAGGCCTAACCCTGCAATTCTGTCTGTCTTAAGAATCGGGTTCTAGAACTGGCTGTGCCTTCCTCAGGGCTGCAGGACCAACAGAGGCAACTACACTGGGATGAACTGGACCAGTTGACGAAACAGGAGCAGCAGCTGCTCCGGCAGGAGAATGAGAGACTGCAGAGAGAAGTCCAGAGCAGTAAGACCGACCTGACTCACGCCAGGGAGAAGGTAACCTCAGCAAGCCGGTAGATAGCAGGGGCAGTCCCTGCATGCTAGGCAAAACTTAGTGGTTCTTGTTTTGCAGCGGGTAACACAGGAGAGGAATGTCGCTCATCAGTTTTGAATGGAAACGTTTGCAGAACGAATGCATAACGGAGTAGTTTTCCTTTATATCTGCACTAAGGATGCAGATACGATGTTTCAAACAGCTCTTTTAAAAAAGAAAATCCCGATAATCCTTGTCTAAGATTCTGGTCTGACTTTCAGTTAACAGAGAATTATAGAACAGTGGAGATCTGGAGATCATCTGGTCTGACCCCGCTGCCAAGGCAGGATCACCTAGCGCAGGTTGCACAGGAACGCGTCCAGTCGGGTTTTGAAGGTCTCCAGAGAAGGAGACTCCACAACCTCTGTGAGCAGCCTGTTCCGGTGCTCCGTCACCCTCACAGTAAAGAAGTTTTTCCTCATGTTGAGGTGGAACTTCCTGTGCTGCAGTTTGTGCCCGTTGCCCCTCGTCCTACCACTAGGCGCTACTGAAAAGAGACTGGCTCCCTCCTCCTGACAGCCACCCTCCAGATGTTCATAGACATCGATAGGGTCCCCTCTCAGCCTGCTCTTCTCCAGACTAAACAGCCCCAGGTCTCTCAGCCTTTCCTCATACGAGAGGTGTTCCAGGCCCTTAATCATCCTCGTAGCCCTCCGTTGGACTCTCTCCAAAAGTTCCCCGTCTCTCTTGAACTGGGGAGCCCAGAACTGAACACAATACTGCAGATAAGGAGTACATTGGAGTATACTCCAATCTTTTTCTTTCACAAAAACTTTTCAATATTCCTAGCATTCTTCATGTTCAATTCCTTGGCTCACAGTATCAGGCAGATTATGAGGAGGAGGAAGGGGAAGACCTTTTGTTGCTCAAAGCTAAGATGTCAAAAATACACCAGAATCTGTATGAGTCCAAAATCGACTGGTACTTAGCATTTAAGATGAAGTAGATGCAATTTGATTTTTTTTGAATGGTCTGAATTGTTTTTCCATGTTTCTTCATCTCCGGTCTCTTTAGATCCGACAGCTGGAATCTACTATCCTTTCCCTAAAGCACCAAAAGCATCAAAGCCAGTCAGGTATCGTCAAAGCTATAGAGCAAGAAAAATTAAGCTTGAAGAGAGAGTGCGAACAGCTTCAGAAGGAGTTGTCATCCGCGAACAGGAAGGTTAGTTTTAGATGGCAAATACGTGACTCAATGCAGCACTTTCTACCTCTCAGAGCTAACGCGGTAAGCTGCAATCTCCTTCTTTTACTCTGAGCTTTGTGCTCTTCGTCTCTTGTGAATCCCTGTCCCAAGAAGCTGCCTTGTCTTCCGTGCTTCCGCAGGGCATGCAGGGTGGGAGTCTATGCCAGTATGCTGCAGGAATTCTGGTCAGTACGAACAGTTCTGTGGTAGAACATGGGAATGCTAAACAAAACACAGCCTGCTCAAGTGCTCTGCAATGCGCCCCGCTTGTGTGCCAGCACTACCACTTTTAGATGAAAAATCAATTACCCTGCCTATTCTTTGAAACTTGTGTCAGAGATGCTGTAGAATGTTGTTGTAGATGTCACTTTTAGCAAAGCATTACACTTGTCCAAATACTTACGTCTTTTAATCTTGAATTGTCTTGATGTGCAGTGATTCAGGAGTTGTGTATTGGAAAAAAAAAAAACAAACAGATAAAATAAGAAAGTACTATCTTCCTAAGGAAACTTCTTGTCTTTAATAGATCAGTCAGATGAATTCTCTTGAACGGGAACTGGAAACCAGCTCAGAAAATGAAGGGCTAAGAAAAAAGCAAGTCAAACTGGATGATCAGTTAATGGAGGTACTTTTCAATCAGTGTTGACTGTACTGAATAGTGTGGGGCTCTATTGCTATCTCACTGAATATGAGATTATTTAGAAACAACTTCTAGGTGTGTAGGAACAGAGGAAACTAATGGAAACTAGAAGAATTAAGCTCTAATGCCTAATCTCATCTTTCATGATCAAGATGTTAGCGTGACAGACACACTTCTCTGAAGCATGTTCTGGCTTATCATAATTCACGTAAGGCTTCAGATATAAAATCAAATTGCAAAGAAATTTGTTTCTGTGCTTGAGGCAAGGCTAACACTTTCCTCCTTCTTCCTAAAACATGTAACCTCAAGTTTCCTAACTAATATTTGCGTAACGCTGCTCGTAATGTAGAAACCTGTTCTTATTTACTATGGGAATAATTTGCTGAATTTAAGCCTTGTTATCTTATCTAGATCATGATAGAATAACAAATTACACAACTTGCTGTTAAAGGCATGAGTGAGAACTTCAGTTGAGATTCTTCCAAAGCCTGCTGTAAATGTGGATGTTTGCTCGGTACTGCTGGAGACAGATCATGCTGGATGTTATGAAAACTGCATAATCTTTACCTGTCCTTTGTTACAGGAGTGGGCAAGCTTAACTGTGTTAAGTCAGTGTATCCCTTAAGGTCAGGCTAGACCTTTGAGTTGTCTCTCAGTAGTCTTGCCTAAACTTGATGTCCTGAATTTGAGTTTAAAACATAATATTAAAAAAAACCACCACAATTCTGACTTGTTCCATAAACCAAAGCATCTTCTAGATTGAGGCTTTTACAACACTGTTTATTAAAAGACTTCATGTTTTTCATCAAAAGAGCAAATGGGAAACATGTTATGCTGAATATACTATGTAATTAGTTATAAAATTGTAAAAATTTCATTAGAAAAGATGAGATTTTGATAAGTGACTCAAAAGACTGTTTATATGCCCTGTGCTTTTATTTATATAGGCTTAATTAAGCTTTGGGACAATTCCAAACACTATTAAAACCTTTAGTATAAAACAGCAAGCATGGAGCTGCGTTTTCTCCTAATATTTGTATTTCAAACATGCAGGACTTTTGTTACTCCTGATAATGTTTTCCCAGCAGGTGTGTGTATAACATTCACTTAGCACTTTATGACTTCTAACTTTCTCTTTTGTGCCTGTTCTCCTTTTATTCATGGCTAACCTGTCTAGAACTCAGTGGTTGGAACTAGCAGAGAAGGGTGCAGTTCTCTTTCTGAAATAGTGTGCGAAGGTAGAGCAATCATTTTCAATGTACTACCATAGCATGGAGAAAACACTGCTTTCTTTTATGGATTTTTTTTTTTTTTTTTATTCCATGCATCTTTTAAGTAAAGAAGCCACTATTCATTTCAATGTAAAATTTTTACTTTGATGGCTGCACTAACTTCTTTGTGGTTAGTATATCATGTAACTTGATTCTGTACGCCAAGAAGTTGCATACTTCTAAGGCATTGCCATGAAAATGGAGAGAAATAACCAATTGCATTCAAAAGAATCAAACTGATCATAAGAAAATGAAAAGTGGCTCAACCCCTTCCTTCTAACCCATTGACTGTGAGGCTTGAAGGTGTTTGCATATTTGCCTCTGATATCTGCATGCTTTTTCACCAGACTGTCAAATGTTTCCTTAATATTAACCAATATGTGGTCACGTTCAGTGTCATCCCTAATAGTTTAGCAAGTTCATTATTGTTCCACTTTCTTCCACAGATGAATACGGCAAGACTATATTGTTTTCATTAGCCACGCAATTGGTGTTTATTTTTAAGATACTGTTAAAATTAATTGACTGTTTCTTCAGCTTTTTTGTTAGATACTCCTGCACTTCACAACGTTACAGGAAACCCTAAACAAATTCCATCAAAAGCTCATTATTTTCACTGTTTCTATGGTCAGTAAAAGAATAGCTCCTCTACAGACAAGTTGATTCAAGAAAACCTCCTGATAGCTTTTTAAAAAAAAAAGTTTTATTTTAAAGTACTTATAAACCTATTTTCTGTTTACCTGGGCCAGCAGAGATATACAGATGCTATCACAGCCAGAAGAGCTGCACCGTTATGAAAAATGCTTATAGTTGTTTAAATTATAGATGAACTCAATAACTGAAATACAATTACTAATTGATGCCTTAATTCTACCACTTGTGAAAGGAAAATTAAAACCACTAACAATCTTATATGCCTTTTCCTAAGGGAAGAGAGTAATGGTTTTGAGAAAACAGGTGAGAATTTTATGACCTGGTCAACTGAACTTTATGGGAAGAAAGTATTAATCTTATGCAAATTCAAGCTGCAAATCAGCTTGTCTGAAACATCGGGTTTTTACTGTACAGTTCTGGTCTCTTAGTATTATAAACTATTCCAACTGTGAGCTAGTCTTACCTGGATTTTACTTTAGTCTAGAAAAATGCTAAATAGTTTCATGTGACTATCTTGGCTCTTAATGTTGTCTGAAAGTTCATCTAAGGCTGGGCCAGTTTATCTAACTTGGGCTTTTGTGGTTGCTATGCTACCGTAGTAAGGCAATGCCAGCAATGCCTCTTTACTAGCCACCTTCATCCAGTAACTGTCAGCATTGCTTGGGAGCAGCACTTGATTAAATGATGTGGGGAAGCTAAACTGTTTGAGAAGTCTGTTCTGAGGTGCTCTTTGCTGTAACAAGGACTCAGGAACACGATCCTTTTGTCCCACATGAGACACCTAGTTTTACCAACTAAAAGACTTCTCTAATATAAACTACTCATTGGTATGTACTACTTTTACATTACATAGACTTGCTGATGCATTTGGTAACCTTTTTTTAATGAAAGCAAGACTTAAATTTGGAATTAAACTACTTCTGATTATTACATGCGTCCATATCTCAAGGGCCCCTCTGAGTATACTTTTGCTTACACAGCACAGTCGGGAGGTCTCCAGACTTTCTGTCAAACTCTGCTTGTGGCATGTCTCGAAATGAAAATTATAAACTAACTTCTACATTTAGTAGTGAACATAAGGAAAGATATATGGAATTCTAAATACTGAATTCTGAATGTAATACAGCAGATGGCATCAAATTACTTAAGTTATTGTACATTACATCAAAAATTTGTTTTGCTCTTGAGAATGTTCTCTCTCCATCTTAGACTAAAGACTAGGAATAATCAGCACTGGTGGACAACTTCTTCAGCCGGCCTCATACCAGTGCTTTTATTTGTAAGTGGATATTATTTTTAGAAGAGCTGCTAAGATCAAGGTTAAAATTAAAAAGGACCATTAAGTCAAAGCTCACCACAGGCTCATTTACTTTTGACAGGATTTCATCAGAAATTCAGTGAATTTATGATTCAGGTCTGAAATTGTGAATTAAACTCAGATTCCTTTAGACTTCAGAACTGCACATAAAGATACGTTAAGTTTTTTAGTGGAAAGAGACAAGTTGCCTATTTAGCTTCCGTTACTTGAGTTCAAGCTTGTTTCTTTTGCGTATAAGAAATCGTTCAAGAGTAACCTGATGTCTAGCGCCTCACTGAAAGAAATCTCGTATGAACAGCAGTGCTGCTTTCTCCTGATGGCTGATGTACATTACTCTTCAGATGCTCCACTCAAGCGCCAGTGTGATGCTTAGCCAACCACCGCACTCCCGGGAGCTCCTGCAGCAAGGCTGTGCCATGGTGCCCAAGGAACAGTTCCTGCAGCTCCAACACCAGCTACTACAAGCAGAGAGGAGGAGTCAGCGTCTTCAGGAAGAACTTGAAAGCAGACCCTCTGAAACAAATATGCAACAGGTAAAGCTCTCCTTACTCTGCAGGTTACAACTTTAAAAGGATATCTGGTTAGTTTTCTTGTGTTTTCAATTATGACGAGATCCATTCTCTGTTTATGCCAGTTCAAAAATTAAAATTAATTCTATCAAAGATCTGTACAAAACAAACCTTTATTATTTAGCATATTGAGCTTGAGCCATAGCTTAATTCTGAAGTCCTCTTAAATCTTCTTGAAATAAAAAAACACTCCCATCCACATTCAACTGGCTTTTTTCCTTCTGATCAATGGGCAGAAGTGTTTATAGGGTTTTTTTGTTTTGTTTTCTCTACCTAATGTCCATGTCTGGAACCACTGTTTTAAAAAATACACTATACCACATATGGCATGAGCACATACCCATCAAACATAAAATACTAGTTCAGGCTGTTGCTGTCACATGGGAGTTCTGTGCCAGCTGTAGTAGAGCGTAATACAAACAAATTAATCCTTTTTATAAAGTCAGCCTATCTTCATTATTTGGCCGTAAGACAAGACATTGTTTGGAGAACACTGTCAATGTTATACAGAAACTTCAACACTGGTATTTCAGAGGAAAAACAATCTAATTCCAGGGAAGATTATAGCCACTGCACAGATCAGGCAGAGTCACTTTTAGTGTTGTTTTTGGTTTTTTACATGTAAAACTGAATTATAGGCAATAGGTAGGAAAGTTGGGATCTCCCATATAAAATTAAGCTTGGGGACTAGGCTTGCCAAGTGACTCTTCAAAAACTAACAACATCTCTAAAGTGTTGGCTCAGGCCATAGGTCTTAAAATAATATTACAACTTTATCTTATGGGAAAAGATAAAGCTCTAAATAACTTAGGTAAAATACTAGTACTTTTATTAATCTGTTAGCAGAAAAACAAGCTTTACATTTTAAACTCAGATTGCAGTTACACTTTTAAAAAAAATAATATAAAGACCAAGACTTTGAAGCTCAAAAATCTCTGAACATGTTACTAGGGTATTATGGAAAAGGGGTATTATGCAGAGAGAGTATATGCAATAACAGTTTCTAAAGTTTCCAAAACTTGGAGTAATAATTCTTTCTTTTAAGAAAGGCATAAGATCAAAAAGGTCTCCCCAAAAAAGAAGTTAAAAGCAAATAATACAGGATAAGTAAACATAAACCCATCACCAGGTTCTCTCCCTTTCAGCTGAGTCCTGACAGAAGTGCATTACCACAGGCTAACGTACTTGGTCACATACAATGGAAAGTAGAGCGTGCAGTTTAATTTTGAAATCAATAAAAACCATACAACAGCAGTAGCATCTGCAAATGAATGTGCTGTGTATTGCATTACGAGTGATGACTTTGTAATTTTGCCTTTGAAAGCCTGAGAAACAATCTGCAAACTAGTCACATCCTTGAACTTGTAGTTCTACAGATAAATCATTTCTACATTTCCTGTAAAAGCTTTCATTCTGGAAAGCTTTATGAATTTAAAAATACTTTCAGAGAGGCTTTGCAAATATTTGCTGTCAATGCACTGATGCACTTAATTCTTCTAATTTTTTCTATTGACCTTTTTTTTTTTTGCTTAAAGTGAATGTATATTCCAGTTTATAAATCTCCTACAGCTTTTTTCATGGGCTTTACTAGATAACTTTCGAAAATCATTATTAAACACCTGCATTCTACAACTATAAACAAGGCTTTTTTAAAACTAAATTTTAGTTTGTCTCAACTTTGACACTGCTGCAAGCACATCTTGCTTTAATTCCCACTGTTGATATCGTCCTGATTTCTAGGGTTAACATTTAGTTGAGCTTATGTCCATTTTAATGTCCCCTTTAGCATCTTGAAAAATTGCATCCTAATCCCTCTTCATCATCTTTTCACCAGTGAGTATAACGTCAGGTTATCTCCATGCTTTCTGTGTAAATTTAATCACCTAGTTTTGCTGCTGCTGCTTTGCACTTTGCAGCTTTCTTAGCTCCTGAGTCCTTCTGTTTAATAAGGTATCCAAAGTTATCCCCTTCCTTTTTGGAATTATTTTATGTTCCTCATGCTTTGCAGTTTTCATTGCTTTTTGATCATTGCTATGGTGGTCTGTGTTCTCATTCATTTTACAGTCAGTCTTGAGCTAATGGCCTCCAAAGACTACTGTCATACGTTCAGATTTCACTAAATTAAAACTCTTGAGCCTTTTCTACTGTGTTAACCTGTCTGGACTCTTCTGAATTCCAAAAGACTGTTTCTGCTGTGTCTAGTGCTGTGATTCTTACCTGCTGCACAGTAGCAATCGCTGCACTTGTTTTCATATTCCTTGCTCAACAAGTAGATTTGGGAGCCTGTTAATAACCCAGATCTTCTCCTAAGTTCTCTTAGAACCTCTGCTAACCAATATTTTTGTTCAGAATACTTAGAGTTGCTCAACTTTCCCTTTTTTCAGCTCTTTATTTGAAAATTCAAATCACCTCTGACCAACAGCTTGTTCAACTGTCTTGGGAAAAGACTTACAACTAGGTTTAAAATAGAAATGCAAATAACTTTTTTCAAAGGAGGTCAGTTGGACTACATTTTTCACAAATGCTCTTCAGCAATCTGTGAGATGTTATATATACATAGAGAGAGAGTGGAGATATTTCCTCTAAAACTTAACTGCTTTGATAATTGCAGTTAATCACTGCCACTGATCTTTTTAAATCCCCCAAAACCATGGATAAGCCATCTGAAGAGTCCTTACATCTAGAAAATGCATCCTGAATATCTCCTCAATTGCATTTGTGTAGTGCTAATACTAGTAATTAGAGAAATATAATATGTGATACTCTGCATGTTTTCTTTCATGTGTGTTTTTGTCTGTCTTGCGTTGCTTGCTTCGCTTGTATTGGTGGTTTTACTTTAAGTATACGTACGTATGTAAAAGAAAATCTGGATATCAGGGTGAAGTATCCCACTTGCCTTCTTTCTCTAGGCCTTGCTTCCGGAGCAGCGAGCAGTGCATGCAGATTCCTACCGGAGGATCGGGCACCTTTGACAGCTTGGCTGCTTATGATCTCATTCCTTACCATGATAAACACACACAAACACACGAACTGGCATAAGCTGAGAAACTTGAGGATCAAATTATTTTGTGCTTTTTCTAAAAAAAAAAAAAAAAAAAAAAAGTCTCCACAGTGTTATTTCCTATTTATTTGTCTAGAAACTATTTTGTTAAAGTTGTCTTTTTTAATTTGTTACAAATACTTTTTATTTATGTTATTTAAAATGTGGAGTTGTTCAGTGTGGAAAGAGATTATTTTTCTCAAATGGTACTAATTTTATATGAAATTTGAAGAAAATCTGGGGTATTTATACTGCATTTTTGTATAAGATGTATAAACTTTTTAACAGGGAAAGATGACATTTTTGATGTAAATGAAAAATAAAAGTTTTTTTTTTAAACATAAAGTCTCTTGTCGTAATAGTATCAATAGTTTCAGCTTTATGAACAAGAATTAACACATTTTAGACAAAATGATTGTCTTTGATAGTGAGGACTGTCATATCAGGACTTCTGGGAAAGATTTCTTATAGGGGATGTACTTAAATACAGATACTCAGCTTCCCTTTGGCAGAGGTACCTGCACATTTAAGAAACTAATTTGCATAGCACATGGGCATATTCTACTGCTGTGGCCATACAGTAAAAAGGCAGTGCCAGAAAAGGGAAAATTATTAACACACTTGTTTCCCGGACAACATTCCTTAGTGGCTTTTGTCTCAAATTACTAGATTAAATGAGATTTTTAATACTTTAAGAGGTCAGCAAAGGTTCTTTAAGGCCTGTGATTTTTCTAGTTGGGAGCCGTGAACCATTTCAGCTGTTTGCTTTCAAAGATCTTTTTGCTCCTATCTTTCTAATGGCCTTAAAGCTAATGCTGAAGCTGGCTTCTCCCATTAAACATGAAATAATATGAAGTTAGACAGAACATTCTCAAATCAACTTTAAGCCAAAAAACAGGGATCACAGGTATTGAGACCACTATTAATTCTTAGTTTCCACTTAACTACTCACTCAGGGCTCCTGCAACCAATATGAAGTGTGATAGTCAGCCATGTTTTTGAACTCCCATCAAATGACAAAACATAGCTCAAGATAACTTGGCTAGAATGTACCCTGCAAGTTCTACTTACTAGTACTTTTTTAAATCTAGAAAAATATCCAGTCCAACAACACTGTAAAATTGCTTTCTACATGACTAATGTAACTTTTTTCAATTTTTTTCACAAGCTAAGTGATCATACAACCCCATATATAGGCTTAAGGAGTTTCTGGTGTTACAACAAATAAAATGTTGAGTGGACTTCAATCAATCCCCTAAGGGGATCATTCTACAGTGGTTTAGATCAGCAGCTACCTACCTGAAACACTCCTTCCTCAGTTTTTCATTTATCCTCCCCCCCCATGTGTGAAGGTACTTTGGTTTTGAAGGTATTTTGTTTTGGGGAGAAGGTTAGTGCTTTCTCAAAGTTAATCTTCTCAGATGACTTCCTAGACTTAGAGTAACAAGCTAGCATTGAAATAAAGAATCCCTTTCCCTGTAGTCAGTGTCTAAAGTTCCCAAATACAAACAAGCTTTCTTGTAGTTCATGGTGTTTCTAATTTTGGGGGGAAAATTTCACTCAACCATTGGTGTAACAGGCACTCCCATGACAATGAGTTAGTATGCCTTTAGTTGGACTGTCTGTTACCTCACTGAAAAGAGCAAAAGTGTTTTAGAGTTACTATTTGGAAACACTAGTTATCAACAACTAAACTAAAAAAAAAAGTAAAAATTCAAGTTTGAGATAATAGCATCCTACTTTTTTAGGGTACTACTCAGTTTCAAGGGGGCTTTGGCATGGGAGACTTATACTGTCAAACTAACATGCCCTTTACGACTTCACTTTAATTTTTTTTCTCAGGTTGTGATTTGGATTGGTATTTTGTTTCCCCCATTCAACAGAAATATGGCAGCACCTAAGGACAAGAAAAGGGAACTATGCAGATCTGACTATCACAGTCAAGACAGAATTTTGTATCAATTTTTCTTAGATCTGGTAATCTCAAGTATAACTTAGACTTGGAAAACTAGCTCAATGGTATGAGTGTCCTTTAAGAGTTTGCTTCCATGAATGGTTTATTAATTTAGTTGACTCTTGTTAAAATAGACTCAAATGTGGAGTGCCAGCTATTTTCTTAAGCATAAACTGGAAAAAAGGGGACTGGTGAATGTGAACTGATTTTTTTGTTAACTGATTCTCACATAAATGTTGCTTTCCAGGAGGGTCATGAGCAGCTTCTAAAAATGATGGAAGAACGAATGATGGATGTTGAACAGAAACTAAGGCTTGTGAAGAGGCTTCTCCAAGATAAAGTAAATCAGCTGAAAGAACAAGTAAGCATTCTTACTATCTTCCTCAAATTGTCCCCATTACTTCCGTAAACAACTAAGTGGGCAAAAGCTGCCAAAGCCATTCTTGCTTAGAATTAAGTTAAAGGTGCTTTCCTTTTTGTTTTAATGCTTCTGAGCTACAGTGCAGCATATTTGCCCAAAACTTCCTAAAATTCCAAATTGAGGACTGAATCCGCCACTCATTCATTTATAGAATCATAGAATATTCTGGGTTGGAAGGGACCTTTAAAGCACAATGAGCAGGGATATCTTTGACTAGACCAGGTTGCTCAGAGCCCCGTCCAACCTGACCTGGGATGATTCCAAGGATAAGGCATCTACCACCTCTCTGGGCAACCGGGGCCAGGGTTTCACCACCCTCAGTGTGAAAAATTTCTTCCTTAGATCTAGTAAAAATCTGCCCTCTTTTAGTTTAAAGCTATTATCCCTTGTCCTATTGCTACAGGCCCTGCTAAAAAGGGCCATCTTTCCTATAAGCCCCCTTTAAGTACTGGAAGGCTTAAGGAAGGAATAAGATCTCCCCAGAGTCGCCTTTTTTCCAGGCTGAACAACCCCAATTCTCTCGGCCTTTCCTCACAGCAGAGCTGTTCCAGCCCTCTGAGCATGGTTGTGGCTTCCTCTGGCCCCGCTCCAACAGGTCTTTCCTGTGCTGAGGACTCCAGAGCTGGATGCAGCACTGCAGGGCGGGGGGTCTCACCAGACTGCAGTTAAAGGTGCAGAATCACCCCTCTACTCCAAATTAGGAATTTCTAAAAGCTGTGCTTGTTTGGTATGCTGATGCACTTAAAGTCAGGAAACAAACATCAAATTCCCACTAAGTATCCTTACTGGAAAAGTTGCTTAGAAAAGGAGGAAAACAGAATTTCCTGAGGAGTACAGACAGGATTATTGTACAATTATTGATTTCTCGAGGTCCCCTGCCCCAGCACACCCTTTGCTTGACATGGCTTGGGGGTTTTTGCTCTTGCCCTGGTCTGCATTCTTCAGAAGTCCTCAATAGTGTAGGAAAAGGCTTTTGAACATTTAAGACGGGTGTGACATGGTAACAGTATCTGTTTTCTACTGAGGTACAGTCTCCTCTTTCATGTTAAGAAAGTGCTGACTGTGTCTGCTGCTGAAGGGCTGGTCCCAAAAGCATGTAGACAAGTGCTAGACTGCTCTCTCCAATTTTTTTAGAAGGAGCTGGTAGTCCAAATCTCAGAGGAAGTATCTCTGTGGGATCACTGGTCTGGTGTACCCTCTTGTGAACTAGACTTATCCTTAGAGGACAAATTATAAAGTACTCATCTGACAAGATTCATCTGAAGCCCTCCATCACCTCCCTGATCTCCATACAAAGTCTTTCCAGTTTCAAAATATTCATAGTAGCTATAAAGACTCCACAAATGTATAGGGTTTTAACAAAGAAAAAGAAGATGAATGGGTAGGTTGTCTTCCTTTGATATTTGAGTTGCAAGAACCACACTCACCTACGTCCCCAGCACTCTCCTTGCTCTTTATTTTTTATTTGTAATGTGCTGAGTAATTATGTTCTGTTCACAATTCAGCTTTCCAAGAACACTAAAGCAGATGCAATGGTCAAGGATCTCTATGTTGAGAATGCACAACTGCTGAAGGCTTTGGAGATGACAGAACAGCGGCAGAAAACTGCTGAAAGGAAAAACTATTTACTAGAAGAAAAAATTGCCAACCTCAATAGAATAGTAAAGAACCTGGCATCCCCATCACTTAATTCAGCATCTGAGATAAGGTCATAGCAAAGCCATTAAGTATGCCATAGGCCCATGCACTTTACTGAAATATTAATATTTCAGCTTTTCACTGCGTTGCCTTTTTGTATTGGTGAATTTTAGTTAACAGATGCCTCTAAGGAGAGGACAGAGCTAAACCCCAAACTGGACACTGCCAAAAGAGAACTTTTGTTTATTCCTAAACTGTCTTTCTGCTGTTTTGCCTAAAAGTAATCTTCACTATGTAAAAAAAGACATATGTTTTTCTAGGTTAACTTATTTTGATACGTTGGGTTTTAATTTAAAATATAAATGCTGAATTTACTGTACCAAATCGTTATTCCTATCTAGATTGAAGCCAAGGTCTAATGCAAACTTATGTTACTGAATTCAAAACTTTAAAATATTTTGGCTTTCTAGAATACTTCATGTTCCAAACCTAGTAATATTGATAGGTCAGTCTTAAACACTGTCAGTGTACTTGCTATTGAAAGCAAGACTTTCCTGATACGGTCTGTGTCCTGCAAACTGATTCTGGTTTCTGTAAAGCAATATGCTCCACCTTAATGCATTAGGCTTCTGGGTTATTCTTCATGGCTGTTTCTCTGCACAGCTCAGAAACAAAAGTTTTCTTAAAAATACGTAAATAGACTACTGCCTCCAAGTAAGTGTAACAGCATTTCATCTGAAGAAATTTCCCAGCTTGCAAATAAAGATGACTACTTTTTTTTTTAAGCTGTGCTGCCAGACAACTTAAAAATTGTAGAGGCCTTAATTTTTTGGGATGTTGAGTTACACTAAACAAAAGAAGAGTCACTAAACAGAAGTGAAGATGTGAGTTTTGTTTATATAATTTGTAAATTCAGTAAAGCAGTGCAGTGTGTTTGTTAAACAACTGGTAGAAGAATGAAGAGGGGGACTTGGATGATTTCATCACTGAAATCCTGTCATTAGGCCTCACAGCCATGGACCTTTGCCATTAATGCAGTGTTCGTTTTGACCTCACTAATCATTTGGAAAGGCTTGTCTTTTGTAGTAGATCCTAGTACAGAATCTAAGTTTGTAATTAATTGTGAAGAAACATATTCAATGTGAATATGGAGAACTCAGGAAATAACAGCCTAAATTAGCTTCCTTCAACATTATAAATGTGGATATTACTGTCAATAGATGAAGATAAATATGCATTAGGAAAAGCAGAATAAACCAAATAGTATTTGGATGAGTATTACCTTAGTAATCCTAGATCAACATGCACAAGTGCTGTAGTCATGAAGGTCAAAGAGCATCAAGGTTTGTAATGACAGGTAATACCTCCTATTCGATCAGTCGATGAGGCTGGGGAAATGCAAGTTTTCTGGGAACAACTTCAAGACTGAGAGGGGTCTGATACAGAAGCAGCTGAATAAGAGCTTGCATGCTCAAATGTTTGTATATAACCTATTACTGCAAATAGTCTAAATGTCCGACAACTGCCTTGCCTCCATCAGACCAGTACGGCGCTTTTAAGCGATGTCAATAAAACTGGTGAAAGGGGCCATACTGGCAATACTTGAAACTGGACCTCTTTAAACATGCATGAATCAAGAATGCAGAGAAAGAGGGTGAGATGTTTTGTCTCCAATTTGTCTCACCTGTAGCAAGGTGACAATTCTGACCGCACTTGTAATGAGCTAGAAGTCCCACAGAGACCGGGATAATACTGCCTACAAGCTGTGGAGTAACCTATGGAAAATGACTTTCACTCGGTGCTGATTAGCATCTCGGTGGCTGTAGGGGATGCTATCTGTCTTTGTGTTGGTTTTGGAGGGCTGAAGGACTGAACTAGACATACAGGGTGTGACCTCTCCTCCTCCGCCTCCTCCTCTTGCTTTATGCAGGCAACATAGTGGAAATGGAAATACAATCATGTAAGAAGAATATGTTAAGAGTATCACAAAATCCTCATAAATTATTTCCCTGCTATGCTATTTTAAATGCCTGTATTGGGTATTCCTCTCAGTTATCTCGAGTTCAGGGATTTATATATCCTGTTTTTCAGCAACTGCAAAATTTTTTTCACAAATATGAAATGTGTCAAATTGACAAATTGCATTGATGTAAATCAGAGCTTTTACAAATCTGAAGTAGTGAGATTTTGTTTCTTTTAATATTAATCAATAAGGGATATCCATTATAATAAATCTGTATGTGTGGGTACTAGGGCTGGGTGTGAGCAATATGGTAACTAAGCACAGCCTAAAACCATGCCTATGCTATGGAAATTAGCAAAGTTTTGAAACACTGTAATGTGTTAAACAATGTAAATGAGGTTCAGATGATCAGAACTGGATTTGGAAAAATATAATTAGTTAGCACATTTTAAGTCTACTTCATATCTTGACCTAGGTTTACTTCCAATGCTCAGTCTGTGACCAAAATCTGAACGCTGAACAGAGGCAATGAGTACTTCACTTAAACTATTGTGCAATTAATTTCACATTACTCAGTTTTAAAGGCTAGACTACTTAACTAATGCTTTTAATCTCCTGGTTGTCACCAGGTTTTTATAAACCAAACATACAGACATTTCTAGAGCACAGTACCAAACAGGGAGCCCAGATGTTTGGAACAGAAGGGAGAAACAGAGAAAAGGGACTTTGACTTCTGCCTTTCCCACCCTATCCTACCTTGCTCTACTTTTCTTCACTTAGCTTCAAAAAACTAACCTAGCCACAGGAGGAGGAGGAGGAAAACGTTTGGTAAATATTTTTTAGACAAAACTCCAATTTCACTGGAATACTTGTGTGAATGAATTCTCAGAAGTGCCTTTTGTAATTATATGTTCTAGAGCCTTTCTGTACTGTACTGTTTTGGTTGCTACAGGACAATTCAGGACAATCCCTTCCCAAATGGAGGGAACACAGAGAAAGGTAGTGCTGCTTACAAACGGGTGTCATGTTGCTTACTGGTTCATTGTGTCAGCTCAGAAGATAAGCAGCTACTTTTACAAAGTCCAGGCTACCGAAAACAATTATATAAACATGTAAGTTATTAAGCATTAATGGTGTTTTGTGCATGAATGTGTCTCCTATGCAGTATAGGGATTTTAAAGATACCAAAGTATTTAATGGGATTGTACCAGTCAAAAGCCACTGAATTTCTAGGCCTCATTCATGCAACAGGTCTTGCCAATTAAGATACTAACTACTTTATTACTAGAAGGTGTTTTAAATGTTTTCAACTCTTGCTTTGTCAATCACTGTGAAAATAAAGGCACACAGATATCTCGGGTTGGGAGTTTTGAAAGAGGATGGAACCCAAGTTAAAATTATGTGTACTAAATTCACATAGTTGAAGTGCTACTTGTCAATTTAGAATCATTTAAAAGTATACATTGTCGCACATTCTCCAATTACTACTTTAAAGACAAGGAAAAATTAATTCTTTGAATTCTGATTTTAAAAAAAAGGATTGTAAAATACTGTATTTTAGCCAGATTATATGTAAGGTAGAGCAGAGGACAGTCTGGATCTATCATGAGTAAAATCCTTTTGTTTACTTTCAGCAAATGACATCACTGTATCTCAGGTTTGCCATCATTTACCTGTTAAGTCTCCTGTTTGGTGTCAGATGCTGTCATTTCATGACAAATGACTTCTGTATAAACGAAAACAGTTGTGTATTTTTTTTTCTATCAATAAAGTTTGTTTTGTTCTGGTGTAATATATTGTCCTTACACTACCATGTAAAACTGAAAGATGAACCAACTTACATGTTGTTTATAATGAATGTAAAACAGAAAATAAATTACTGTATGATCCATACTTGTGTCTTTTTTAATCCAACATGAAAATATTTCCCATGGAAGGTGTAGGTGCTTCAAGTAGGATCTGCAAATTCGTCAAATGCCTACACACAAAGATGTAATAATACAAAGGATGGTTTGGCAACTACAAAAAGTAGTTTCTTCCATTATTAAAGTATAACATTGATTAAAGTGTAAAAAACTGACAGGTAGTGAACACACCTCTTGGCTTATTTTTAAGCACACCCTACCCTCAGCTTAAGCTGCATACCTATTCCTCACCTTTGGCAAATATCGAGTGCTTCTTGTGGGATGCTTTTCCTGTTTAACCTTCTAAAACTCGCTCCTTTGGTAACGGCGTGGAAGGCGGGCCGGTGGATACTGCTGGAAGCACAAGGAGCACCGCCCGTTAGTCACCGAGCTCCTGCGGCGCCTGAGGTGCCACTGAGGCAGCGGTGCCACCTCGGCCCTCCCCAGCCAGCTGAGGGGTCCCCGCTGACGTCGGGGAGGAGAG